GGGGGGGGGGGGGTGAGACGCCGTCTGGCAATCCCAGAAAACGAAGACACGAAAGGTCCAACCGACGACCCGACATAGTGCACGCAGGCACCTCCTGCATCGTACACACTCTCCGAAAGCGCCTCAATACAACACACTGGCAGACGGACAAAAGACAAAACAAACGATGGACAACGATGACGCCAGAGTACCTTGGAGGGGAGGCAGATGAACCACCTAGCCCTAGGCTGGTCACCAAGCCGGCTGCATGAAATCCGAACTGCCGCTCTTAATCCCTGTCCCTGCTCTCCGCCCCCCAAACTCTGGCCTCCGGGAGAAGCCCCCCCCCCTAACCCCGACAGGACGCTTCTCATTGCCGCAAGGATCCGGGGCTCGACCGCCTCCCAATCCACGCCCCCCAGTCGCCCGGCCTCCCGAAGGCGCCCCCCTAAACCCGCCCGCACCCACCCGCGCTACTGCAGTCTGCTGCCTTGCCCCCTGTTCTCGCAAAATGAAACCTGGGAGAACAGGGGGAGGCTATTCCCACCGCAGGTGGGGCACCCGCCGAGGACGCCGCTGCAGCGGCAGCTGGCGGCGGAGCTGGCGGCGGCGGCGGCAGCGGTGTTGAGGCCGCCGCGGCAGCGGTAGCTTGAGGTGCCACCGGAGCAGTCCGCGGCGGCGCCCAAGGAGATGTCGCCGGCCCCCCTGCATGTCCTCCTGGCTGTCCCACCCGATTTTAGCCGCAATGCCTTGCAACAACCCTAACCCTTGCTGGGACTACTGCAGACTCTGCTCGGCCATCTCGTGACTGCCTTGCGCGAGCTGAGTGTTGTCCGCAACCTGTGCCCTAAGCGCATCGACTTCGGCGGGCGCGGGCGGTTGCTGCTGAGGGTTCCGTCTGTCCACCAACTTGGTCACCGCCACCCTCATCAAGTCCATCATCTCCGAGCTACCACCCGACACGACACCTGGGGTTCCGCGAAATTTCTGCTTCCGCACGCCTCCCCCCCTCCCGGAGCGCACCATCCGACCAGCCTTGCCCGCGGAGAGCTCCGTCGCCTCCTCGTCGTCGAGATCGACCTGGCCTTGTCCATCGCTGCCATCATACGCATGCCCTAACCCTGAGGCAGAAGACTCGTCGCCATCGTCGTAGTCCCCCTGCCCGCCGCCACCAAAGTCCTCGTCCTCGCCCCGGGGGTCCTCGGGATCTTCCCCTAGCTCCTCCTCGTCGTCTATCCCACCACTGTTTCCCCTCCGCGCTAAGTACTCATGTGCCTGTTCGTCATTAAGAACGCCAATTTGCGTGTCGATAATCGAACGAGCCGGCTGATGATGAGGCGCGCCCACGGCCGCGTGCGCCGCGACCACGTACAGCCCCAGCCCCCGTTCTGGGGCGTCCACCCCTAGCGGAGACATGCGTACGTCCGACCGCGCCTCCCGCGCCCGAGGACGTGCCTCGCCCACCCGCGGTGGAACCACGACCACGCCCCCCCCCCAGCAGAGCCCCGTCCTGTGGCAGGAGCTCCGCGACGGGCGGAGCCGGTGGCGGAGCCGCCGCCTGTGGCGACTCTCCTCCCCCCGCGAGCAGAGAGACCGCCCCTGCCTCCGCCTGCTGAGGGCGCGGAGGACCCCCAACAACCTCCGCCGTAGGCAGCGCGGTCACGTTCGGCCTTGGCGGCCGCTACTTGCTCCTTCGCGGCGAAGTCCCCCGCCATCGCCTGCTCCGTTGCAGCTTGTGATAGCTTGATGGACGACATGAGCTGGTACTTCTGGAGCGGAAACGCAGGCGATGTAAACACGAACCACGGATGCAAATGTATATATATATGTAGGAACTAAGTTAGCATACGGCGTGTTGCTCCCCTAACTAACCAAACACCAACAGACTGTCGGCATTTTTGCACGTGGGCCCCCTTCGTGATGTCCCTCCACCATGTTTTCAGCCTTACGCCGTTGTTGGGTGGAAGATTACGGGGGCCTCGAGCTACCCCACCCAACAACAAATAAACAAAACAAAAAAAAGTAAAAGGTGCGTCCACGATCTCCCAGGGAGAGGGGACACCGTCGTGAGTCTGCAATTAATTCCCCGCTTAGGAGGGGTACCGCCACCGGGGAAGACGACGAAAAAAACAATACTCCTAAAATATAAAAAAATGAAACTCCCTCCCGCACACACGTGCTTATAACCGGGGGCGGGGGGGTCTTTTTGTGCACAAGAGTGGGCAACAATAGTACAGGGTTTACGACACGGACTCTTGACACGGGCCGACACACAGAGACGAGGCACAGCCCCCCTCGGCCACCCGACTGGTAAGCCCCACCTCCCTACCTACCATCCGCGCACCTCAGAGTCCCTCGCGTACAGCTCGCTCTCCTCCTCCTGAGTCATTGTCCCTTCTCCGGTCAGCTTCGCGGCACCCCTCTCTTCCTTTTCGAGAGCGTTACTCCTGCAGTTCCATCCTCTCTCGATAGTGTCCGCCAGCTTAGCCTTGTCCACGGGATCCTGGATTTTCGGGGCGTGCACCAGTGGGGGCGGGGGGGAAGAGGGGGGGAAAATGAACAGCGAACGTACCCCTCACACCTCCGCGTGAGACGCCCACGACGATCGTTCAATCAAAACCCTAAACCGTGGAAATGCATGACCTCGAAACGAAGGAACCAAAGAATCGTACCATTCAAGAGAGAAACAAACATTCAATCACCCTTAATCTTGACACGGTCCTTACACGATTGCGCTGGTAGTCCAGGTGCAGGTCTTGCCGTACCCCATTCCTGAATGTGGTCAGCGTCTGGGCCTCCATGAACGTGTCCACCACCCGAAGCCACATTGCAGGCCGCAGTGCGTCACTCCGCTCCCCCCACGGAGTCTGTTTCCCGATGGCTAGAAAGCAGCATTCCCATTCCCCTGGCCTCTCCATGGCTCGTTGGATCGTGAAGGGATCTACACCTGGAGGAGATTGTTTGCAGACGCGAGGGCGCGTGATGGTCCGGACAAGTTTAGAGTACAGTACACGACGGTGGCGCCCGATGCTCGTACATGGACTGGTACCTAACTCAATCACAATTTATACAACGGCTGTTCTTCTATGCCTCTTTCTCACCAACGGTCCGAACTACACGCCGAGACGTCAGCACAGTTCTATCTCGCTGGTACTTGCTACCCGAACAATCGCGCAGATCGGCGCCGGGAACAACTCTGCGTGCACCCAGTCGACCCCGAAAAGAAGTCTTTCCCAAAGAAGAGCTCACCCTGATCGGAGGCCCACCCTTTGCCGCTCTTGGCCTTGCCCCGGGTCTTGACTTCCTTCACGCTGTCGCCCGAGTCGGAGCTCTCTTCATCTGCCTCCTCCTCATCACCTTCGCCGACCTCATCTTCTCCCTCGTGCGCTCCCGCGACCAACCCCTCCAGAAGCACGCTGCTGCTTCCTGATACGTCCAAGCCACTGCCCGACATATCCAAGCCTATAGGGTTGGACATGCGACCACTGCCGCCAGCCGAAGCAGCCCTACCACCTGCCCACCCCTCGGAGTCGAGATAAGATGAGCCTTCGCCGTAGCGACTGCTGGGAGTGGACTTCCGCTTTCCGAGCGCCTTCCCGGGAGTCAACGAGAGGGAGTCTGAGCTCTCCTGCGACATGTTTCCTCTCGACTCCCGAGAACTACACTCCGCGAGCTACAATCCCCGAATCCCAACCGCCGCCAGCGGCTTCGCGCCCCTAGTACGTGCGCCCAGAGCTACCGTCTCTTCCACCAACAACTGTAACCTCTCCCTTCACGGGCGGGCCACCCGACTAGCTGCTGTTGTGGTTATCACCCATGTGCTTCGAGTCCAGAGTCCAGACAGAACAACCTAGGCGTGATCCCGCGATGAACGCACATGATCCTAACCGCGGCTTGACGTTCCCCTCACGCGATGTACTCCGGGGAGCGTTGTGTTCACGTGTGTGGGCGTGCGGGAAGCTACGTGCGAGCTTGCCGACTGAGTTTATGCCTTCGTGTGTGTGCGATGGCGCTCGTGTCAATTTGCGGTTTTCTCGTGTCAAAATACCTCACGTGAAAATATTTTCACCACGTTTTCGAAAAATTCCGACCTGTGATTCTGACATGAAAAAGTGCGGCGTAAAAACCTCTCGTCTCAAAATTCTGACGTCTCGTGTCAAAATACTGGTCTCGTGTCAAAATTCCTGACACACGTGGGACCCATGTAATTTAACGTGGGAACCCATTCTCACAATCGATGAGCTCGTCGAGGCGGACGTAAAGGACCAACACCACGTACACGAGGCGGCTGGCGGTGTTTGTTGTACGGGCACAGATGAGATGCATGAATATCCCACCAGTTTGAACATGGCCTTTGGCCCCGAACACAGGTAGATGGCAAGGGTAAGCCGACCGCAACTAACAGCATGCCGCGCCAACATGAGGATGCTTGCACGGAGACCTCGGCCCGGGGAGCACGCCGCACACTCGGGAAACACTCGTAAGTATATACGGTACATGCCACCCCCCCATTTTTGCCTCCTTCGAGTCCTTCAACAAACACACGCACATCACACGAAAACACCAGGCAATGCACCACATACGACTGGTTCAAACACCGAGATACTGCTGTAGTACCTCTACAGCTCCAACAATGTGTGACTGCTGTTGGACGCGCACCTGCTCTATTCCCGTCTTGATCGTGGCTCGAGGGCAGGAGTGGTATCGTTACATATATACACACGCGCGAAAGGGGCACGACCTGGGCATCAGCCAGGAATGGTCTTCGAAGCCACACCCAGCAGCGGCTTGTGGCAGTTGTGGTGGGGCGAGGGCAACGCCTGCGAGAGATCTTGAGGAAGGATAGAAAGACACAAGTTTGGACTTCCTGTGTTGCTGTGGGGGCCGATGGGGGCCACGCAGACATCGATCCGAGGTGGGGGTTAGGCACGTCTACACCTCGCAGGTCCTCCAGACCCAGGCCAGCTCCCAGCTCGAGGCATCCAGCCAGATGTTCAGGCACCCAGGCTCCCAGCTCTAAGCTCCAAGCTCTAGGCGTTCAGGCATCATCGTTCACTTCTTTGCTTCAACACCACGAGAGGGACCCCTTTGTCTTCTCAAAGCCGGCGTTTCTTCAGAAACTAAGTACAAGCTGGGCTAGGCGAAAAGCTCACTTTCGTTCGTTCGAGTCTCATTCTGTTGTTTTCACGAATGTGGGCTTGAAATTTTTTGGCTGCTCTCATGAGACAGTATGGGAAGCGCAGGTGCCAGAATTGTTTGAATCTGAGTTGATTAAGGTACCAAACCATCAGTTGGCGGCGTAGGGGGGGATACTTCCGGTACTGAAATCAGCATAAAAAAAGTTACACCGAATAAGCTGAAACTTGGTGTGCACTTTCCTGGGAGCGTGCGAGAAAAATGATTGTTACAAGGCTCAAATCATCTTGTTTCTACCACGAGATATGGCCTCGTACAGACTCCGACACAAAACACAAGATAGCCAAGGAAATGTGAGGTTATCGCAGTTGCATCACAACTTTTACGAGTTGGAATCTGAAGTTTTGACATGTGGTCGGTATTAGTACAACCAAGTCCTTGACTGGAAGCACCTTTTTTTTTTTTACCCCCCCTAGACTACACACAAAAAAAGGATCACCATTTGTCCTATAATAGGGCTACCTCGTGAAAAAAAAAAAAGTGCCNATCAGCATAAAAAAAGTTACACCGAATAAGCTGAAACTTGGTGTGCACTTTCCTGGGAGCGTGCGAGAAAAATGATTGTTACAAGGCTCAAATCATCTTGTTTCTACCACGAGATATGGCCTCGTACAGACTCCGACACAAAACACAAGATAGCCAAGGAAATGTGAGGTTATCGCAGTTGCATCACAACTTTTACGAGTTGGAATCTGAAGTTTTGACATGTGGTCGGTATTAGTACAACCAAGTCCTTGACTGGAAGCACCTTTTTTTTTTTTACCCCCCCTAGACTACACACAAAAAAAGGATCACCATTTGTCCTATAATAGGGCTACCTCGTGAAAAAAAAAAAAGTGCCTCCAGTCAAGGTCTTGGTTGTACTAATACCGACCACATGTCCAAATTTCAGGTTCTAATTCGTAGAAATCGTGGTGTAAATCGTTATCAACCATTTTGCATGCAGCTTGGCTGGCCCAGCTTGTACTGTAGTACACAGGGAAATTTGACTACACGCATCATGCAGTAAGTAACCACACAGAGAAGAATAGCTAGACTACACTTCTGTACTACTGTAGGTCGGGAGCTAAAATGACACAGATATATTTCGAACTTGGACGTCTTCGCACAGGCAATGAATGTTCATGAAGTAGAGTTGTGACGCATTGTATGCATACAATATTTCAGAAGGATCGCCTCTCCGCCAGCGCCGTTCGGTCAGGTTCCTCGTTGTCCTCTCCATAAACTTGCTCTGCTGAGGATTGCGCTTCTACTCCCCTCGCGTTTCACAGCTCCCAGCGATGGGTGCCTCGCTATTTCTAGAATCGACGAAGGTTCCCTCACCACAGGCGGCTAGAAACGAAAAATCTCAATATTAGTCTAAATATCGCACATTTTTGGTTTTCGACCGGGTTTTCGTGCAAGGCTGGCCTGAAACATAGAGTGGCCTGCCCTGGGATGTCTCGCGCCCTCACGCTCGCCGCGCCCCAAGGGGGGCGGGCGGAGCCCCCTTGTAGACTTTTATGTTTAGCAGCCGTCCGACCACCACGCATGGTAACAACAAGATGGTCTACACGCAACGAGGTGGGGAACATAACTTTGAGAGAACCGACTACAAAAGATGAGGTGAAAAGTGGACAGTAGCACATCTTCAATAATACAAGTCAGCTACGGTGAATACCCCGAGAAGAGAGCCAAGAACCGAATCACCCCAACCCACATTGCGCTATCATTATTATCCACCACCACCACGAGAGAGAACCCCACGCGGGGCGATGCGTGGGACAACGAGGGACTCCCACATACTGCATTCAACTCACCAACATCACAAACCCTACACCATACACCCCCGTACTCCGGGCGAGATACGATGATATCGGAAGCTCTTCACAACTCACAGGGTAACGGAACATTTCTACTTGCCAGCCGATCTCCCTTACAGACTTTCCGAACCAGATCTACATGTAGTAGGTCGAACCATATTCACCAAAGTGCTCAAACTTGGATTCGTACGACACTAGAACACGCAGCCGTTGAACGTAGGTTTCAAGTTCTTTGACGAAAAGGAGCTTCCTCAACCCACACCCACAAGTCGGCAAAAAAAAGAAACGCGAGCCTCGGGTTAGGCAAGCGCCATCGGCACAATCGCAGGTGTAAAGTATTCAAGACCACCATGGGGCTTCCGGGTTGTTGCATCTCCAAAAATACCACGCGGATGCTGGAGAAAATAGTAAGCCATCATAAATTACGAGGCTACGCACCAGCAGCCGGGGAGCTCGTGATCCAAGCCGCATCCTCATCCTTGCTTCAGAACTTAGGGATAGGCCCGCTTCGTATGCAAGGGGCGACAACAGATATGAACCTGGTGGTTGACGGCTCAACTTCGAAATAGAAGAAATAATACCCCCGCCAACGAATGTGCAACTGCTGTGGGTAGGGAGGCATTGCACAGGAGAAGCAAAGGCTTGACCCGTGAGTGAGTGTGGGCTGGACAATCATTGGCGCCCCTTCCAACACAAGCCTGGTCATGTGCCACGATAATCCACCTGGACACGCTAATCCATACTTCGAGTATCTCGATACCTCGTTCGCGGCTAGACATCACCCCTCCCCTCGCCTTGCTAGTCCAACTTTGGTTCCGACCCAGTATCGCTATGACCACCCGTACCGCGTGGAATTCCCGAACCCACTTGATCTCTGAGCTCTAGCTCCTCCCTCAATCTGTCGATGCTGCTCGTGCTCCTGCTCGTACTCGAACTTGCACTAGTATCAGGCGGCGGCGCCGTCACCGCTTGTACACCGCCGTCGCGCCCTTCACCACCGTTCTCTTCCAACCCTCGCCCCTGCGATGTGGCACCATTTCCCCCATCATTTGGTGGTGACGAAGTACGTCTCTCTGCGTCCAGAACACCTGTGGACGTCGACTCCACAGCAGCAACAGTAGCAGTCGGGGGGTTTCCCCCGGCACCGTCTTCAAGTTTGTCTATGCCACTGGCCTCGTTGCTGTGTAGCGGTCGACTCGAGTCTGGTCTGCCGCGCTTGGCATTTCTTGCGGCCTTCTTCGCGTCCCGATTCAGCTTTCGCAGGAACTTCCGGTCTTGGCGCCATTTCAGAGCCCGTGCAACTGCCAGACCACGCAAAAAGGAAAATAATAATAAAACATCCAAGGGGTAGAAAAGGAACTTCAGCACTGAACAATGCTAGGTACACAGTAGGGCAATCGCACTCGGTAGAGTCGTGTGCCACAGGAGGCGGGAGCCTGCTCAAGGGAATGTTGGCTGGCAGAGCATGCAGAAGACTTGCCCCTCAAGACGAAGGCATAACATGTCAACAGATACCAAAACACCCCAAAAGCCCCTATCTTTCGCTGCACGTGGTCGTGAGGTAAACAGTGCTCTGCATAAACAAATCGCAACGGTACCCCCAGCAATTCCAACAGTTGTGTAGCAGAGCCGGGTTCTTGATCACCGACAAGACTGAAATCGCCACGAAGAAGCGAAAGGAAACATTAGTTCGAGGTACACATCTTTTGCGATCGGCAAGCGCGCGGGTAACGCGCTAGATCATTGTGTGGCAGCTAGCTAGGCATGCACCGTGGCCCAGCTCCCGTGAAGGTGGCCTCGTGTACGATCACAAATGTGTTGAGCGAGTGAGATTCGAACTTGCTGTGGTGTGGATCTGGTAGGTTTCTTCATCCGGCAACAAGATTGCACCGCAACATCAAGGGTACAGAGCCCGGATGAACTCATTGATGATGCACTGACCACGAAAGCAGGAACGAAGTGCCTTGTGGAGGCGGTTTTCTAGTCCTAGCCGAGCCCTTGTAACTCATTTAGAGAGGCTGAATGTACCGGTGCATTGCAACAAGGGCTGGTGTGACGGTCTGAGCAGAACGTGTGCCTCATAGCGCCATGGGTTCCAAGCATGCCTCAGCCTTTGTTTTGTCTCCCCAGACAACCGTACACGCGGGCAAACAACCTGGATCAACTAACTAGGGAATGCCCCATATGCGGTAATTGGATAAGGTGCCGCAAGTCTTCCCCATTGACGCCCGTAGCCAACACGGAGCGGGGGAGAACGGCATTCGATGCCGTTGATTGGAGAAACTCTCTCCTTTCCTTAACTGATATGGGTGGTCCTGGAAGGCTAGCCGGACAGTCTCTCGTGGCCAAAGTTCTCACCAACTCCACAGGACATTTTTTCTGTTTTCACCGGAATCGTTCCAACATGATGTTGAACGATTTAATGGACGACGGTGCTTTGGAGTTGTTAGGGGTCGCTGTGGTTTGCTTAAGATCGTGTGGTTCGGTTCAGATCTGTTTGGAGGAGAAAAGACTGCCGCTTGATGGGATGGCGTGAGGTGAGGTAGAGCGAATTGGAGAGGATTGGAAACGGAGTGAAAACGGGTGGAGTGCGGTGAAGCGAAGACTTATGGTGTGGAGTGGGGAACGAGCGGAGCGGGGCGGGATATGCCGTCAAGCACGGTCGAGCCCAAGCAAGCCACACATAAATATCCTATGCATGTGGCAACGCAATATTGTGTGAAAAACACCGTGTCCATCGTTCATCAAGGTCCACAAAAAAAATCGGCCCCCACGAGCTCACTGCTAAGAATGCTCTGTGTTTCTCGGCAACCTAATACCCGAGAGTGTCAAGAAAACCTACCTGCATATCAAGCATGTTCGCACAAGTGAGGCTTTTTTGTGCAGGAGAGGAAACAGGACGGCTGAGTGACATGTACCTGAGCACTGAAACCAACGCGTTGAACTGCCCCTTGCCAAGTGTGAAGTCACTCGAACACACACAAAACTCTTGTCTGTCCGGGTACGTTAGTCCGGCTGTGTTCGCAGAAGTTGTTAATGCGAGGTAGGCAAGGAGTCTCACACATTGTTACAAACCTACGCCGTACACGCCCCCAATTCAAGTACAAGTATAACGTGCGAGGTCTCCCTCCGAGACGTGCTTGCCAAGCCTCCCGCGGGTGATGCAAGACGACACGCCTGAAAGGAGGTTTAAATCTTGACGGGCAGGTACAGCCCGCGTAATTGCACAAAGCATCGCGCAAGTATTTGGAGCCCGATACACCACAAGCAGCGGCGACGTCGCAAGCTTTGAAGAGTGCCATGAGTGGGGTTGTGGAAGTATTTTCCATGCGACGTGTTCCCATTAGTTGCTATTGGAAGCTAGAGAAGTGCTTGAAAAGAGCAAATGAGGGCGCCATGTTTCCACTGTGTCGTTTTTGATGGGTGTTAGGATCGGTTTGCGAGGCTTTGTCATCGCGGACCGCGTCCCCGCGAAAAATAGTCAGTTTTCGCGACTTTAGGCGTCGAGCACAGGAGCCACGTACGCTTGTAGGGTTCCGGGCATGCGCGGTAATACACCGACGAGCCCCCTGAACATCCCTGCGAAGGAAGCGCGAGAAACGATTCACTGCCGCCAGAGGAAGAAAAACGGAAGCACAAAAATACGAAATATTCCATGTGCAATAAATGCACTGTCTAGACGTGACCCATTAGACTCACGTGGTAAGATTGTCTTCACGCCGAATCCTCCAACCAACCGGCGACCGACTTTATGCGCCTCCAGCAGTGATTGCGCCCCGTCGAGGATGTTGTATGTCGGCAGGAGCACCTGTCGGGAGGATATAAAAAATAATGACTCGTTCGTAAGGCGCACGTGGTGCTTACACACAGCCGAAGATTCAAAGCAACCAATGGACGTGGATGCCGACTTTAGTGGTCTTGGTACAACGAACAAACTTTGGTGGTCGTGGGCCAACAAATTGAACAAGTACAAATAGCATACGTTTGATTCGGTACAGATGTGCTTTGCACGTTGCCTGTCCGCATCGCAGGCATCCATTGGCACCTCAATATCTTGAAGAATCTTGTTCGCACCAAACTCTCGCATCAGTCGATCGCAACGGCAACAACGCCACCGGTTTGAGAGATGGGCCCACGCTACAGCAACTACGATTGTCGCAAACAGCATGATCCACGTATTTGTCCGGTAAGGACTCAAAGAACAAGTCGTGAAGCGCTATGTAGCCGTTGATTGCCCACCAGGCCCGCCTACTGAAAATGCTGAGGCCTGTACCACAGAAAGGCCAAAGCTTCGTGGTGCATGGGCACTGAACTATCGTACTACTACCGTTGCCCCTTGGCTACGCCTCAAGCGCTCTTAAACCTGGCAGCGGTGCTGGCTGGAAGAAAAACGCTGCAATAAATACTGCTGTCGGAGAAAATGCGAAGCGGCCTCCACTGGTCACGGCACTTGCTTTTCGAGCGATCACTTTCAACAGAACACTATCACCACGAACAAACGCTTGCATGTATCACCACTTGGTCATTTTCGATGTTTGACGTTTGATGTGCAGCTGGTCAAATGCTCGGAGATGAGGTTCATACCGGCAGTCGTGCACAAACCCCAGGCACGCTCTTAAAGAGATAATGACTGCGCTATTCTCCCGGTTCGGCAACGAAAAAACAAACTTGATTCAAACGCAACATGTGGCGACGGCACTGATCATTCAGCTCTTGAGCCGAACAGAACGAGATAGCAAAATGGCAGACAGTCGTCTCGCACACTGACCAAGTCAATTTAGACCGACCCTACCAAGGAGGGCATGGGACCAAACCTTGTGGAGCATTTGCTCGCTTGTCCTCACGAAGGGTAAAGGAAAAGTGTCAGTTGCGGGCAGCGTAAGAGGTGAGAGAAGGGGTTCAACTCCAGGATCCAACCCGAAGGCACGCACCGACCGCTCCCCCACCTCGTCGACACATTATCCCAACCGACATGTTTCACACGCCCTCCGTCAGAGCACGTCAGAGCACGGGAGCCCATGTTGTAGAACGATTGGTATCAATTCGTGCCCCATGGGCCGAAAGTTGAGCGGCCGTTCCGCGGTGTGTTCGAATCATCATCGCTATTGCATGCTTTGAAACGTAAGCACAATATGAGTCCTTGTTTGCCTCTCGGAGCTGGGCTCTACCGTGTTCTGGTGTTGTCGCCACGACTTACTCGTGAAAGAGAAATGGGTCTCAGGCAAGTGCATCCAAGGATGACGTACCTTGCTCATGCCGTCGAGACACAGTATATTGAGAATCAGCGTGGCGTATTCCACATCCACACGCACTGAGTGCCGCCGTACGCAGGTTAAGACCCCCCGCAAGATGTTCCCCACATCCACGTTCTGGGAAAAGCAGACGAGGGGGGGGGGGGGGGGGGGGG